CGGGCGCGCGCCCGGCCCCGCCCCGGAGCCCTCCGCGACCGCCGCGACCAATGAGGTGAGAGGGAGGCGCGGGAGTCCGCGAGCGAAGGAAGGGGGTTCCCTGGGACCCCGAAGTTCCTTCGTGGAGGGTTGCAACTGTGGGATGCAGGCACTGTGGGGGTCGGCAGCGGTCGTGCCCTGAGTGCCAATGTAGAGCTTTGGAGATGCTTTTGCAAGTTATACGCGAGGGGAAACAGGGTGGGTACCCAACCACTTCTTGGCCCACGCGGGCGCCCTGGCAATAACAGGCCCGGCGGGGCCCCGAGGCAGTGATGCTTCCTAAGAGTCTTAGCTTTCGGCAGTAGCGTAGCCAAAGACAACTGGAGTTTCGCACGCACCCCGCTTTTTCCCACCCCCACCCCTGGCCCTGTCCTCAGCCGCCCTCGACCTTTAGCACTCGTGACTGCCTGGCCAGGGAGCCTAGCGGGCTGCAGCAGGTGCTGGGGGAAAAGTTTGTCTGGACGACCTTACTCTGGGATGCATCCCTTTTCCCTTTCACTCGGAAATTATTTTAGAATAGAAAGAATTGTGACATTGCCACTCCTTTCCTTTTGGCCTTAGGTTTCTGATCTCCTACAGCCTCCTTTTGCCCCGGGCTGCGCAGGTCTTGGCGGCTGAGTCTGGCTTATCTCCCTGCCGTTCCTTCATGGGCTTTGCTGCCCCTTTCACCAACAAGCGAAAGGCTTACTCTGAGCGCAGGATCATGGGGTGAGCATCCTCCTCTGCCATGCGTCTCTCCACCTCCCCTTTCTCTTGAAACAAGTAACTATGTTCAGGCTAGAATGGAAGGGCACCATTAGTGGACAAGATTCATCCCTGGCCATCCCTCTCTCCCCAGCTATATTATTGATCCTTTAGCGTCTCCCGTCAGCCTCCCAACTTTAATTTCCCCCTTCTTCTTGGTTGCTTTGCATGTGCATTTAGTAAAGTGAGACTAGAATTGGACTATACCAACCTGACTTTATTTATTTATTTATTTTAAAAGATGACCGGTAAGGGGATCTTAACCGTTGACTCGGTGTTGTCAGCACCACGCTCACCCAATGAGCGAACCGGCCATCCCTATATGGGATCCGAACCCGGGGCCTTGGTGTTATCAGCACCGCACTCTCCCGAGTGAGCCACGGGCCGGCCCCAACCTGACTTTATATTCTGAACACAAGTATAATAGTCAACTTTCTGAGTGCTTGCTGTGTGCTACCAGCTAGGTTGTTTAGGTGTTTTACATAAATTTTCTCATTTAATTTTCAGAACAACCTATGAATCAGGTACAATTATTACCTCCAATTTATAGATGAGAAAATGGAGGCACAAGAAATTTGCCTAGAGCCATACTGTTAGAAAGTTGTGGAGCTGGGATCTGATCCTTGTGTGATCACCAGTAAAACTGACAGCCTCTCTGTTCTCCCTAGATGTTTCCTCTTAGGATCAAAATAAATAATGAATGCTAAAGCATTCTGTAAACAGCAAAACATAAGGTAACATTAACATCATGGGGACTGGCATATATTTGCTTTTGGGAAGTTATTCATCCAGGCTTGTTTGGGATTTCTAGTTCTTGAAGGTGCATGGTTTGTGGGCAAAGGTATGAAGTGGGGGCTTATGGCAAGGAAGAACCTGACCCAGCTGGCAGTTCCTTGGCCTCTCTGATTCCCCTTCCCCTAGGTACTCAATGCAGGAGATGTATGAGGTGGTGGCCAACGTCCAGGAGTATCGGGAGTTTGTGCCCTGGTGTAAGAAGTCTTTGGTGGTGTCCAGCCGTAAGGGTCACCTGAAAGCCCAGTTGGAGGTTGGCTTTCCACCTGTCATGGAACGTTATACCTCTGCGGTTTCCATGGTCAAACCTCACATGGTCAAGGTGAGGCCTCTCTGGGAGGGACTGTCCAAGAAGTTTTTTCCGTGTTCCTTAGCATTTTCACATGTGAGGGCTATTTTGGCCTTCCTTGTAATGACTTTATTTCCATGTTTCAAATATACCCCTAATAAAATATTAGAAGGAAAATGGCTTTCAATTCCTTTGTATATTGCCTCCTATACTTAGTAATATTACTTAACTACCTGATTATCCTATTCTAGGCTGTTTGCACTGATGGCAAGCTCTTCAACCACTTAGAGACTATTTGGCGATTCAGCCCTGGTATTCCTACCTACCCCCGAACCTGCACTGTGGACTTTTCGGTGAGTCCAGTAGCTGTGTAGCATAGGTCTAGGACTGGGTGTGGGGACAGAGCTGAGGTACTGTGATAGGATTATTCTTTAAATATAACTAGCACCTAGCGTTTGCAAGTCAATGAGTTTCCACAGGTCTGAGTTTGTATCAAAGTTGTACGCTGTGCGCAATCCTAAGGTACGGCTCTTGAGGGGATCTAAGCAACTGGATGGGGAGAAGAAAAGGCACTAAGGAATAGTATCCTTACATTTGGTCAGGGACTATCCAACATTGTCTTGAGTTTTTTCTTTGGCGGCTGGCTGGTACAGTGAAGAGTTTCTGACTGTCTCTTACTCATTCCCAGATTTCCTTTGAATTTCGTTCTCTGCTGCACTCCCAGCTGGCTACCATGTTTTTTGATGAGGTTGTCAAACAGAATGTTGCTGCCTTCGAGCGCCGGGCAGCCACCAAGTTTGGTCCAGAAACAGCCATCCCCCGTGAACTGATGTTGCATGAAGTGCACCAGACTTGAGGGAAAGGATTGTTCCCTAGCCTCTCCTCTACTCCCCTCCCCATCCAGTTCTCTTATTTATTTGGTTTGGCGCTTGCTCCAATTTGAGAGGAGTCTGAGTTCATAATACTGTTCTTTGAATTCCCTGGAAATTGGGCTCTACATTGGCTGGAAATGCTGGGGGGAGGGGAGCAGGGGTTATGAAAACGTGGAAAGGGTCAGGCTCATCCTAAAAGCCCCATATGCCTGCAGCCTTTTCATACTGAACTAGAATCAGGACTGTGTGGTTGTATCTGGGCCCTGTCAGAGCACCTCAGTGTCTGACCAGGGGAAAATAGCAACTTTTCTAAGAATTGAATAAGTTGAGCTTTTCCTCTGGCATAGAGGTACTGGGTGATCATGTTTGCCCTGCCTCAGAGTCCTCAGGAGAAAAGGCAACCTACCCTCAGCTTGAAATCCATATAGCCTCACTTTAAGAATATTTCCATGCTGCCTGGATAGTAGAGAGCAGGGGGCTTTCTTACCGTGTCACAGGGCCGAAGAGAAAAAAAGCACTGAACAAAGTTGTCTTTGTGCTCTTGGGTTGTACCTTATCCTTCCACTTGGCCTGAGTTTTTATAAAATTTCAATAAATTGTGACAGTGTGAATTTGGCTTTTTTGTATTGTTGGGGGAATAATATAGATATAGCAGAGTAGAAGAAAGTCATGGCTTCCTTCCCTAGGAGAGTGAAGGTGTAAGAAGGCCTCTCGGACATAGTGTCCCTGCTAACTATAGTAGCACATTCTACAAGCCAGGACCCAGTACCCACCCCCTTGCGTATTTATAGAACATTTCAGAAGGTCAGTTGCAGCAGGAGTCTCAGGACAGAATCATCTGGTCTCAGACCCCCATATGTCTAATGCCTTCAGGACCACCTATTGTTATTCTGGGGGCCTCCATAAGTAAAGCTGCAGAGTGGGCACTCCACGAAGTACCAGAGCCCTCTAGTGGCTCAGGTCCTGAGCTAATAGTCTTAGCCCATTTGTCCTTGGTACAGTTTGTTTCTTTCATCCAGTGGGCTAGACCAGTTCTTAGATTAGCCACATAAGCAGTTATGAGGTCTCAGCTATGGTTCTTGAGTGTTCCACTTTACAACAAAATTAAAAAGGGTGAGAGTTAAAGGTCAAGGGCTTTCTAACCTTGAGGAAAGACAGAAATCTCCTTTGGAAATCTCACAAGGAGCCTTTCCTCTGATCAGGGTAAAAGAATGCTAAACCTGCCTAAAGATACAGGGATGCACAGGATAACTTATAACTCACTAAGCTCAGGATCTTGCTAGCCAGCTTCTTACCTCATAATAAAGATTAATTATTCACCTTATTTAATAGCAGAGTCAAGCATTGTTAATAAAAACATTTATTTTTCATTTTATACAGAACAACCTGAAGTCTGCATCATGACCAAGGGTTTAACAATGTGTCCATCTCAACAGCTGGTTCTGGAGACTAGGGAGCCACACAAACACAGGCAGGGGGTGCAGCAGGAGTGTATCTCAATCCTTTCTCAAAGAAAAGGCAGTAGAGCATTCTGAGTCATCAAAGAAACTGTGCAAATGGGGCTTCTATTTTTTTTTTTTTTTTTTTTTGGGCTGGCTGGTATGGAGATCCGAACCCTTAACCTTGGTATTAAAATACCACGCTTTAACCAACTGAGCTAACCAGCCAGCCCCAAATAGGGCTTCTAAAACAATCACCATACTGTGAGCTCTTGGGGAAGGGGCAGAAAATGGATGTTAAATAAGGGTACATTTTCTTGTGGCAGGGGATAAGGAGGGAGGCTTACTATTTTTAATGCCCTCAGCCCCAGGACCTGATATTCAAAGGAGACTGTGTTCAATAATCTTGAATTATTTCCCTGTTCAAAGAGAGGTACCCCTGGGTCCAGACCATGAAGATACCATGCTGGTCATTCCTGAGTTCCTGTTTTAGGCCCCACAGAATATTAAAAAGGGGTGGGGAGGTCAGAGGGTAATGGCTTGTGTTCTATGGAAATAAAAAGCTTAGTTCACATTAAGCACTGATAAAGCCAAATGACTGGGAAACACCACAGTTCAGACAGACCTGCTAAAAGAGGGCTCTGTTGGAACTGGGACGGGAAGGTCCAGAGCATCCTCAGATTGAGGAGCAGCAGGTATAGAAGGTCTGGAAGGAGGTGAGTATTAAAGTAGTGGGAAACAGAACACTCCCAGACCTTAATTTTAATGGGATAACTTTAAAAAGAGAAATAAAATCAAACACTGGGTGCCAGTCATAACAAATGTCATGCCTTTATGGTCACTTGGCAGCATTTAAAAAAAATCGCCTCCCTGTACTGGCCAGCCATACCCCTCCCCCACAATTGCCAAAGCATGTCCAGCTAACCAACTGGTTTTGCTAGGAGATGTTCATGTGTATGGGAGAGGGCCCTAGTGCTGACAATCCAACATGATTCCTATGGAAACAGAAGGGGCAGAGTCCTGGTTTGCTGGCATATTGAGGGCTGGGCAGAGTAGGAGCAAAAGCTCCAAAGTGACTGCAGATTCTCTGCAACCACCTTTGACCCAGGGAAAGAGGAGCCAGATTCTCACTCTAGAGACGGTGGGGGGGCCAAACCTAACCCAAACCACATGCATTAGTCCTGGTCATCCTACAGTTGATGGGCAACTCATACCAGGCAGGAGAAGGGAGCTGGTTAGGGAAGAAGGGGTCTTAGTTTATATTTTCATCTTTCGAAGTCTTAATTTATATTTTAACCTCAAATGTATTATCAGTGCCTCAGATACAATTTAATATTAAATCTTTAAAGGCCCCCTGAAACAAAACAAAAGTATACATTTTTTAAGCTTCCTCACTTTCTGGTATTGTTTCCCCCAGTCTTCAGTTTTACCCTGACTTAGAATCCACAAACTTCATCAGACCATCCGTGCTCATGGACTTGGGCCTCTCTAGAGGGAAGCCTAAGGCTCGACTCCAGATGAGCTGTGCGAGTACACCTAGTGCCCGTGACACCCCAAACAGGACTGTGTAGTAATTCATCTCCGTCATGCCATAGTACTGTAAGGAAGAGGAAAAGTCTTTGTTAAAGGACTAGAGGCAGTGGCCTGTGCAAGTACAAGGTGATATAAACCTTAGAGGCACCATTTCCCTTTTTCTCCAGGGACTTAGCCCAGTACGACTTAAAGAGAAATGATACTGGGAAAAGTATAGCAATTGGGATTCTTTTTTTTTTTTTTCCTTTTTGTCTTTTTTCGTGTCCGGCAACGGGATCGCAACCCTCGGTGTCGCGCCCGCACTTCGCTCAGCCAGTGAGCGGGAACCGGTCTGTATGTGGGATCCGAACCCTCGGCGGGAGCGCCGCCGCGCTCCCAAGCAGCGCACTGTAGCAGTGCGCCACCGGGCTGGCCCAAGCAATTGGGATTCTGCAAAGAGAATAACTCCAACCCCTACCTCCAACTCCTGCTATAGCCAACTTTATCAAAAGACTATGTGAGGGAACAGGGATTAGCCCTTGCTCTGATAAGGGAGCTGATTTTGTGCATAGCAGAGAACAGCAGGGTTTGGTATAAATTAGAGGGAAAACAGGGAAGGGAGGACTCACCTGGAGCAGCACCCCACTGTGAGCATCTACATTGGGCCAAGGATTCTTGGCCTTGCCCTGCTCTAAGAGGATATTGGGTACAATCTTGTACAGTTGAGCAACTAGCTTAAACATGGGGTCATTAGGCAGGTGTTTCAGAGCAAACTCTCGCTGACAGGTATATCGTGGATCAGTCTTCCTTAGTACTGCATGGCCATAGCCTGGGACAACCTGTAAAAAGCAAGGAAAAAAGATAGTTTGTATTCTCAAGTAGAAATTCTTTACCAAATTCTTCATGGTAAAAAAACGGGGGAAAAAATTTCCTTTAATTTAGGAACCTCTCTCATTCTTTTCTTAATTTTTCCAAATTACAGAACTTGGGTCTTGGCTTCTTTCCTAGTTGCTAAGCATCTCTGCTTACCCGTCCTGAGTTGAGTGTGTTCCAGATGTAGTCTCGTAACTTCTCATCTGACACATCTTTGCCAACTTCCTTTTGTAGTTGTGTTAGCCAAACAAGCACTTCCTATGGATAAGGTTTAGGGGAATAAAGGAATGTTAACATATATACCAGGAGGGAATACCAAGATTAGAACAGGGCATGAGAGTAAGAAAAACATGGAGCAGGAAAAGAAAAAAAATAGTCTTACCTGATTTGCCAGTCCATGTAGAGGCCCTGCTAGCCCATTCATGGCTGCTGCAAAGGATAGGTAAGGGTCTGAAAGGGCACTGCCCACCAAGTGGCTGGTATGGGCACTGACGTTGCCACCCTCATGGTCACTGTGAGAAAGTTAAGAAGGGAGAGCCAAGGAGAGAAAGGGCAAATTATGGAAACACAGACCTTGCTGTTACCTGTCACATACTAGCCTAGTTATGGGCTCATACCAGCCTATAGCCAGTCAGTAATACCTAAGCTCTTGTAAAAGATATCCTAAGCTCATTACCAGCATTTGTTCACTAATCCACAGAGCTGGAGAGGTTACTGGTTGATGATGCCTGTATGCCCAGATCCCCTACTCCCACCCCGGTTTAATAGCAGTGGCCAGAAGAGGGAGCTCCTGGAAAGCTGAAGGATCACCAAATGTGAGTCAGTACCTTTTCCCACCCAGCTAGAAGCACCATCTTGTCTTAGCATGGTTGTGGTAATTTTCCTAGGGCTCTTGACCTTCCATATTAGACCTCTTTCTTCCCTGTATCATCCCTTATGACATGTTTCCATTCCTTTCTGCCTACCATTTGTTCCCAAAAGATGAGAACATAACAAGAGCTTTTTATTTTTTATTTTTTTTATTTTTATTTTTCTTTTCCTTTTTTGTCTTTTTTCGTGACTGGCAACGGATCGCAACCCTCAGTGTCGCGCCCGTACCAGACCGGGACCGGCAACGGGATCGCAACCCTCGGTGTTGCCCCCGCACCTCGCTCAGCCAGTGAGCGGCCGATCTGTATGTGGGATCCGAACCCTTGGCGGGAGCGCTGCCGCGCTTCCCAAGCGGCGCACTGTAGCAGTGCGCCACCAGCCGGCCCCTTTTTTATTTTTTTTAAAAAGATGACCGGTAAGGGGATCTTAACCCTTGACTTGGTGTTGTCAGCACCACGCTCAGCCAGTGAGCAAACCGGCCATCTCTATATAGGATCCGAACCCGTGGCCTTGGTGTTATCAGCACTGCACTCTCCTGAGTGAGCCACAGGCCGGCCCATAACAAGAGCTTTTTAAAAAATTTCCCATCAATCCAGGCACGTTGTGGCTATGGTTGCTAGGTCTAGCTCACCTGTGAATGGTGAGGTATAAGCGCATGAGCTCAGTGAACTGAGCATCAGCATAGCCTAACATGTTGGTGAAATTGTGGGACCAGTCCAGCTTAGAGTCAATGGCTCCAATACTGCTGCCCTCTCGGTAGAGATTCCGGTAGATCTTTGCTGCAACACAAGGCAGCTTTGCAATCAGATCCATACAGTCTTCATAAATCAACTAATGGGAGGAGAAGAAGGAGAAAAAAGGAAGGAATTATCAGCAAAGAAGAATTAGGCAGAGATACTGTTTAACCTCCATGGATTGGGCTATTTATTTAGGTTGACGGTTATATGCTTGGGTGATTATATATTGAGTATGATTGAAAGCACAGAATAATAATAACCATTTAATGACCCAGGCACCACACTAAATGATTTATAATACTGTCTCATGTACAGTAAAACATTATTCCCAATTCTTACTACCCTACAAAGTATGCAGGGTACTTCAAAAGGTTCATGGAAAGATTTGCATTATCTTTCAACACTTTTTTCCACTTTTTGAAGTACTCTTGTATAATGACCGCCATTTTACAAATGAAGGGACTGAAGCTCATAGTATTCGGTTAATGGCCAAAGTCAGGTTTGAATCCTGATGTGTTAAATCATGATCTTTTCCACTGCACCATGATTTGCACTCAATGAATATGCTAATATACTAGTTTTTAATATTAACTTTATGTTTCATCTTTCAAGGAAAGTTTGCTATATATGCCAAGGGTCAAACAGTGGTATTCAGTTGTGTAATAACAAGGCTTTCATTTTTTTTAAGCATTTACTATGTAACAGGTACTGTGCTAGATATATATTATTTGCATTATTATTTTATCTTTTCTCACAATAAGTCTGTAAGGTAACATATCCCTCATTTTACACATGAGGAAAATGGAGCTTGGCCAAATTAAGTTAACTTGCACAAGGTCACCCATGTAGCTTATAATAAGCATCACCTAGCTTAATCAATATTAACTCATGGCTACTTTTTAAAAGACAAAGATTATACATATATTTGGTATACAACAAGATGTTCTGATATATGTATACATTGTGGAATGGCTAAATTGAGCTAATTAACATACCCAATACATTACATACTTATTTTTTTTGGTGATGAGAACATTTAATCTACCCTCTTAGCAATTTTCAAGTACATACAATACACTGTTATTAACTATAATCACCATATATACAATAGGTCTCTTGAATTTATTTCTCCTGATGGCCACTCTTCTTTCATCTATACCCTTACCCACCTTCCCACTCACCTCCCAAATTATTTTGAGAAAAATCCCAGATATCATATGCAGATGCTCCTTGATCTACGATGGGGTTACATCCCGATAAACCAAACATACGTTGAAAATATTTAATACAGCTAATCTACTGAACATCAAAGCTTAGCTAGCTTACCTTAAACATGCTCAGAAAACTTACATTAGCCTACAGTTTGGCAAAATCATCTAACAGAAAGCCTATTTTATAATAAAGTACTGAATAGCTCGTGCAATTTATTGGATACTGTGCTGAGAGTGAAAAACAGAATGGTTATATGGGTATTCTGAGTACTGTTTCTACTGAATGCATGTTGCTTTCGTACCATGGTAAGGAAATCCTAAGTGGAACCATCGTTAAGACAGGGACCGTCTCATATTTCAACATGTGAATATTTAAAAGCGTGTGTCTCTAAAATATAAAGGTTTCTCATAGTCAAAAACAGAAAACCATTATCCCACCTAAAAAAAAAATTTTTTTTTTTGACCAGTAAGGGGATCGCAACTCTCGGCACGGTGTGGTCCTCACCACACTCAGCCAGTGAGTGCACCAGCCATCCCTACATAGTATCTGAACCTGCAGCCTTGGCGCTACCAGCACGGCACTGTCTGGAGTGAGCCACGGGGCCGACCCTAAAAAAAATCTTGACAATCCTCAATGTCATAAATAACTAGTCAATATTCAAATTACCCTTATAAGGCTCCCCCAACCCCCATTTGTTTGGATGAGGACTAGAAAACAGTCTACACTTTGCAATTGTCTGATGTCTCTGAAGTCTCTTTTAATCAATTTAAGTTCCCCTTTCCGCTCTTTTTTTACTTTGCAGTTTATTGGTGGAAAACTGGATCATTTGTTCTGTAGGTTTTCCCATGGTTTAGATTTTGCTGGTTATACACCTGTGATGTCATTTAACATGTTCCTCTTCCACTGTATTTCCTATAAACTGAGGGTTATTAGATCTAGAAGATTCAGGTGCCATTTTTTTTTTTAATCTTAAATTGTCCTCTTGTGTCTTTAAGAGCTAGCCCTATTATTAGGATGGCCCTCCTAAATGGAGAGGGAGATTGCTGTGTGTCCCGCCAGACAACACGGTTAGAACAGAGCACAGGGGATCCAGGTGAAATTTTTAAACAGGACTATTTCATAAATAGTGTTGCGATAATTTATTAGGAGGCATACAATATCTGGTTGTCTCTCTTTTTGTGATGTTAACAGCTTGCTTCAACTATTGCACCTCAATTTTTATCTTCTCAAAGGAATTTTAAATGCTTTTAGAGAAGGGACAGGGTGTTTGTTTTGTTGTTTCATCCACAATTCCAGATACACAGAAAGCATGGAGTAAGTACCTGTTGATATTACATACTGCTGTCCTATCAAGCTAGCTGGCTAAGTGTTCCTGCAAGAAGTCATAAAGTTTCAATAGTTCTGATGAAACAAAGAGCAAAATTTATAATAACTAGCCTAAATGATTTAATCCCTCTGAAGTCATCTATTACTTAAGTGCTCAGTGAATTTTATCAATGCCACCAGGATTCAATAAGAATAATACCAAAATTAAAAAGCTACTTGAAGCAAGAAATACTTAGGTAACACTTGGAAGTTCTCAGGCTATTACTTACATAATAATCATACTATTAACTATACCTCCTTGGAGATTTACATCCCTCGAGGAAGTAGGTTACTTCCATAAGCTTGATCAGGAATATGAAGTTCTGGGGCCGGCCCGTGGCTCACTCGGGAGAGTGTGGTGCTGATAGCGCCAAGGCCACATGTTTGGATCCCATATAGGGATGGCCGGTTAGCTCACTGGGTGAGCTTGGTGCTGACAGCACCGAGTCAAGGGTTAAGATCCCCTTACCGGTCATCTTTAAAAAAAAAAAAAAAAAAAAGGAATATGAAGTTCTAAGGAACCTGGATTCATTAGCAGAATGCTAAGAACAGTATCCTGGTCTGGGCAAACCGGTATCTGTGGAGTATACACTAACTTTCACAGTCACTTGGAAAGCATGAATGGCCATATCATAAAGAAACTACAAAAAGGAGATTATTTCAACTTCTAACATTAAAGATGAAGTTTATACAGCAATAAGTGTCTGGCCAGGTACAGTGTGAGATCCTCACCTTGCTTTTTGTAGTGGTCAACACTGTATAGTCAAGAACAGTTTTAGGAAACAAAACAAACCTGACAGAGAATTCCTGTTTATTTTTTAATAAGCTAAGACTGAAGTGTTGTTTAGATACTTGTAACAACTCATTCTTCATCTATAAAGGCTTGGGGGGAGAAATGTTAAAACATGCCACCATCACAACTATCTGGAATAAAGGTAACAAAACTGACCATAATCATCATTATGAGCCACCATTTCTATAGCTAGTAAAATTCTGGCCAAAATTCTTTCATGTAGCTGTCAATCATTATTCAGAAGACACAGAAAAAGAAGATAGCCAGTATTTATGGTAAAGAGACCCTAGAATCAAGCAAACTCATGTTTCTATCTGGTCTCTACCACTTACTAGCTGCATGACCTTGGGCATGCTACTTACCTTCTCTAATCCTAAGTTTTCCTATTCAGTAAAAAAAAAAAAAAAAAAAGGAATAATATATAACACCTACCTCACAGAGTTATTCTGAGGATTAAATCAGATAATGACTATGAAGCACTTAAGCATAATATCTGGCATGTTTTCAATAGCTGTTAGGATGATGATTATAATTTTATTATAAACAGCTTCAAAACATACATATACCATTCATAGGCCTTACAAAAGGTGGCATTTACTAGCAAAATTTGTTATGTCAGCTGTTTCACAAATTTTACTAAATTCAACATCTTAAGGCGACTTCACAATTAAACAGCTGGTTGCAACACAGCAACCTTCCTCTTATAAGTGAAGTTAAGTCAATCAAAAAGAGACCTAGGGGCCAGCCCGGTGGCGCACTACTGCTACAGTGCACCGCATGGGAGCGCGGTGGCGCTCCCACCAAGGGTTCCGATCCCACATACAGACCGGCTGCTCACTGGCTGAGAGAGGTGCGGGCGCAGCACCAAGGGTTGCGATCCCGTTGCCGGTCCCGGTCCGGTACGGGCGCGACACTGAGGGTTGCGATCCGTTGCCGGACACGAAAAAAGACAAAAAGGAAAAAAAAAAAAAAGAGAGACCTAGAAGCTAGTTAAACTTTTCAACTCAAGAGATTACAATATTCATCTAAAGCCATGGAGACTGTTCTGGAAGAAATGTAGGCAGAAGATCATCCTCTTAAGGTATATGTAAAATATTTCTTAACATAAATTTTTAATCAGAAATAACCAGCTGGGGGCCGGCCCGGTGGCGCACTGGATAGGTGCGCCGCTTGGGAAGTGTGGCGGGGGGCCGGCCCGGGGGGGGGGGGCGCCG